GAGCCCGATGTGGGACTCGATCCCAGGACTCCAGGATCATGACCTGAGCCGAAGGCAGTCGCTTAACCAACTGAGCCACCCAGGCGCCCTGTGCTTCCCAGTCTTAAACTCTCAGAGTTTCTCAGCCCTTTCAGGGCCCCAGTGCCCTAGGTACATAAGAAAAGGGACCTTCTTATCGAGTTCCTTTTGGTCTTTAGTCCTAACACAAGGTTGGGGACTTTAGCCAGAAGGGGTAGAGGGGGGAAAGGGGGAGATGCTGCCCCCTTGCCTCCTGCTCTGCAAGCTGATCTTCAGACAGGGATAGGGCTAGATAGGACCCACGAACTGCACCCTCCAGGACCCACTTCTTGGGACAATCGTCTAAAGGAATGGGGCATTCTACCTATACCTGGCAGAATACATGAACTAGATGAAGTTGCTAACTTTACCTCTGGACCTGAACTTCAACGTGAAGGTGGATATTTATAGCAAAGTGTCACTATTTCTTCCCATAGACCTCATCTGAGGGTCAGGCTTCTTAGGTTTCTGTTCCATCCATATCGACCAGCTAAGAAAGACCTTGAGTAAGTTACTTTTCCTCTCTGTATCAATTTCCTCAACAGTTACATGGAAATAATAGTAACAACAATAATAATACCACCCACCTTCCTGCTCACAGAGTTCTTTAAAAGATCAAAGATGTAAGTGCTCAGTAAGTGAAAAGCCAGTGCAAATAAAAGGCAATATTTTCTCCGTGCATTTTAAATCCCTCCTCCTGTAGCAGGAAAGCACCACACTGGCTTATTGTTATCCCTAGTTAAGGCAAAGATTGCCCTTTGGTCTGCAGTCCCTAAGGCACAGAGATGGGAAGTGAGATGTGAACAAATCCATTATTACAAATCAATTATCAAGCATCTTCCCAGGGCCAGCCATTCTCCCTCCAGAGAAGGGTTTGCGGAGGGGTATTCACTCGCAATTGTTTTAACAGCCTGGCTGCTCTCTGTGCCAGCCACCCTCCCAGAAACACAGGTTGGTGAGAGGAGGTGCAGAATGAATAACTAGCTAGCACCTTCCTGGTTCTGGATTCTGTGAAGGGGGTGGAAAGCTCTGCTACAGACACACACCCCGCAGGATAATTCTAGCTGATGCCCTGGCAGGGCACTCGGAAGCACGCTTCTGCAAATCATCCAGGATGCATCACCGACTAGATTCTGGTACTCAGAGCTTCAAGCCGGCCCAGACTTCCTTGCTGGCTGATCTGTCGGGCAGCTCCACTAGGGACTCCCTGGCGTCCCTGTGGAACACGGAGCCCAGGCCATCTGCGTTCCTATTCTCCAGCTGGAAGCTGCCCACCAGTTCCTGGATCCACTGTAGGTCTGCTGAGAACGCCTGCCTTAAAGCTTCAAACTGTGCCTGCAGATGGTCCAATTTCCTGGCCATGCTTCCGAGACTGGCCCCTGTGGCCCGGATGTCTTCTCGCAGGAGCTTCTTCAAGGACTCCACTTTGCGGAACTCGTACTTGAGCTGGGATAGGTCATGCCGGGCGCTCTCGCTCTCCTCTCGGTACCAAGCTTCCTTCTCGTTGTATATGGAGACCAGGGCCTCCATATCGTCCTGGATGGTGTCGTGGGTCCCTGCCAGGGCACGGCATCCCCAGTCGACCTGAGCCACGTCCTCTACTACACGGGCAAAACGCTCGAAGTTGACGTAGGTGTTATTGGGGGGCATGCTCGAATGGCATTTGAGGGTGTATTCTCTCAGGCGCTTGGTCTTCAGCTGGGGGGGCTCTGTCTTCTGCTGTTCCGGGGCTCTGACTTCTCCTTTGGACTGGTGGGTGTTTAGATAGAACAGCCAGAATTAAGTTGATGCCTGATCCGAAGGGCAGTTCAAGGTGCAGGCAGAAGGCACACATTCACTGCATGCATCAGGCCACGGGGAGGACCACGGTGGGATGAGCATCCCCACAGATGATGAAAAAGATTAAAGAGTACAGGGGTGCTGCCTGCATGCTCACTTCAGGGTGGGGGAGGGGTCCATGGCCATTAGAGGAGGTCTCCACACGCATAGCATTTAGGGAGCTCACACGGGCAAGCAGGCTATAGCCAGGACTCTGCAGGCATCCACTCAAAGGTAGGAGCAGACAAGGCCATGGCTGACAGAGGGGGGCTGAGGGACCTTTCTCCTTCAGGGCCGGTTGGCATCCCAGGCCTAGGCAACTCAGCACACTAAGCCTGAGAGACTCCCTCGCTCTGGGCTCTGGGCCCACTCCAAACCTAGAGGGCCCTTGGCCTTCCCCATCCTTTAATGAGCAGATGAACGTGACCTTCTCCGAAGCATTCCAGCCCTCCCTGCCCTCCATCCTCCATAGGCCCTATCCTTCCGCATCTGCATGCTCAGATCATCCTAGCCAGCCCTCTCCTTGCAATGCGGGTGAACGGGAAGTCTGGTGAGGCCCAGGGAGTACACATCTCATCAGGCAGCAGAAGTAGGGCCAGAATCCTGGTCTCCTGATTCTCACCCCACCAAAGTGTTTTGTTTTTTTGTAAGTAATCTCTACGCCCTATGTGGGGCTTGAAGGCTTGAACTCCCAACTCCAAGGTCAAGAGTCACATGCTCTGCAGCTGAGCCAGTCAGACGCCCCTCAGCAAAGTGCTTTTAACTAGCACTTTACTGTACCGTGACTAGACAGCAAGACCCTCCCCAAACCAGCGGCTGGAAGCCCAATTACGAAGCAGGTTAGGCGGGGAGTTGCCTTCGTGCCCCCATCTCCCCAGAGGGAACAGCACTGCCCTGGGGGTGGCCACCTCTCTTCCCCACCAGGCTTCCATCTCCGAGCCCTGTTCTGGTCAGAGTGTCATCCTTTACTCTGAGTGCCGAAAGTTAGAAAGAAGGAGCCTTGGTTACAGAGTTGAGGTTTTAATTGTCATTGCTTTCTCTCTACAACTTGGGAGTCCTGATTTCTGCTCTGAGAGTGACAGTGACACGTCCTCTGACAAAGTACGCTTTGTAAGATGGCCCCAAAGAAAAAGGTTTCAACGGAGCTTTGTGAGGTTTTGTTTCATAAGTCACCTGAACCTGTGAAATACAAACTTAAACCTATGAACCTATTTGAACAAATCCAGACCATTTGGCACCCCTGCCCGGCTTTCATCGGTGCCCGAGGGTGGGTGTTTCTAGCAAAGGTCTTTCGGTGGGCCCTCTGCATCTGGCCACCCACCCAGAGAGACTGCCGACCTGCCTGCTCACTGGCACTCCACACCATGCCCTTACCGTGATCCAGGGGTGTCTGAGAGCCTCCTGGATTGTGAGCCGTTTCCTGCAACGAGGATCAGAAAACAGTGATGATCCATGAAGACAGAAGCTGAGAGCAATGGTCTCCATTCTTACTCTTGTCAGACCCGCACTGTGGCATTCTTTGACCATTGTCATTGAACCAGAATAATGGGGGATGCAGAGATGGATGGGGAACTGGCTGAAGTCCCTGCATTCCAGAGAAAGTGGTCCAGGCAGGCCCCTCAGTAGAGTGACATTATGTAAACCCTCATCTTTGGTCCTGAACTTCAAGGGCCTAACGCCACACTCTATGAGAGTCATAAGTGCTCTTGTGAGCTTTAGCTCTCCACAGAGCACGAAACCTCAGTGTTTTTCTATTTGCTTCCCATATCCCTTTTCCATCCTTCCCTGCTCTGGGAGGGACCTGACCTAGCACTGCCATTGGATGGGGAAACCAGGCCCCTGCCCTTCAGAGGACCCCATTCTGGCTCTCTCTGAAGTCTGTGGGACCAAGAGGACATGGCCTTCTAGAATCTGGAGATCTCATTCCTGTCCCATCTAGTCCATGCTCTGGGCACCCAGCACCTTAGAATCCCCGGCCTATCTCCTGCTTTGACTCTATAGCCATGGGGCTCACCCTGGGCCCCAAGAAGGGGTAGGATTAGCATGTCTCCTATTCTCCCACTTACTGGCCCCTCTGAGTCTGCCTCCCCCAACTCCCACCTGAATTGGTTTAGAAACTCTGCCACTTTCCTTTTCAAATCCTAGTTCTAGGTGCCTTTGGGACAGACCGGAAAAGATGATGTGCCCTAGAGAAACCCAAGCTGATTTTCAAACATGCATGTGTGCATACACGCGCACGCGTGCGCACACATACACACAGAGCTATTTGTACTTTGGCAAGAAAGAAAGCAGAAAGACTTGAGCAAGCAAGATGAATGCCAAGTCTCAGCTAATCCACGCTTCTCAGCACCTGCCCAGATTAGGCCACAATGGTGCAGATGGCAGCCCATGGCAAAGTAGGGACAGAATGACATGTCTTTGGGAGAGGGGACAGGAGAAGGTCAGTACCCCAGAAGCCCATGCCTTTCTCTGTCATCTTACCGGGTGTCTTTAACCAGAAGCTTCCGAATGAAGTCCTTGGCGAGCTCACTGGTCTGGCTGAAGAATTCCTCGTCAAAGTCGTAACTCACTGCTGTGATATTTGTTAGCGTTTCCTGCTTCGTGTCTCCCAGGAAAGGGGATGCTCCACTTAGGCTGAGCACACAGAGAGGGAACACGTGACTGTAGGTAAGTAGACAGAGGTGGGGCTGATGGAATCAGGGAACCCTGACTCATACTGTTGCCTGGGGATGGGAGGCTCCCAGCAACACCGCCTGCCCGCCTCTGGGCAGCCAGTCAGCAGCCTTTTCAGCTAACAGTTGAATTCAATCTACTTTATGGAGCTCCTACTAAGTACGTGACAGAGAGAAACTGTGTCTGCAAGGAACTTGAAGAGGAGGGGAGGAAACACAGGGACATGGGTTTTCATAATCCCAAGCAGAATAAAGCAGAATATAATGGAAGACCAGACGAAGGACTGGGGGAGCACAGGACAGAGGGGAAACCCAATGCAGGCTTCATGGGGGAGTTGACATTTGTATCAGCTGCGTCTTGAAGAATGAAGAGGCTATCAGCAGTCAGAGGAGATGAAAGGTCTTCTAGACTAAGGGAACAGCTTGCGCCAAACCTGAGAGGTGTGGGAAGAGATGGGCCATTAGGGCCTAGACAGGTGTGTCAGGTTCCCCTGCAGGGTTTGTCAAGAATGTGTCATTCAGATAGTGACTCCCAAATCTACTGTTTCCTGACTCATATTGGGATACCTCTTATGGGATACCTCTCCCTAGATGTGCCAATTGTCACTGTGCCCTAACCTCCCTCCAAGAGCTCCCTGCCTTGATTAATGATGTCCCTTCACGGATGCACCCAAGCTAGAACACAGGGACCACCTCTGACTCTTCCATCCATTCCCTCACCACATCTAACCGGCCCCAAACTCTTGTTGGTTTTATTTACTAAATATCTCTTGAAGGTCATCCCCAACCCACTGCCACTTTCTTGGCAGAGTGGCAGCAAGGTGCACTGGGAAAATTTTGATATTTCAGTCCCGGATTTGAATCCCAGCTCTGCTACTCAATAGCTGTGTGAACCTAGGTAAGTTACTCAACCTCTCTGAGCTGCAGTTTCCTTCTCTATAAAATGAAGAACATAAAAGCCTCCACCTCACGTGATTGTTGTAAAGAATAAATACATTGACAATGCTCCCTGCAATCTTGCTCATTCTAAGCGCTCTGGAATTGGTGGCCATTATTTCTGTCTTTGAACCCAAAGAACCTTCTATGACTCCCCATTTTCTACAGGATCACATCTAAACTCAAATCTTCCACAGCCCCAGCAAACCAGTGCCTCTCCCAGCTGTGTCTCACAGAGACGTGTTCATACATCCAGCGTGACTTTGGTCCCACTGAGTGCGACTTAGCTGTGTGGTGTCTCCCCCCGACAAGGGGAGCTCCAGGCAAGCAGGGCAGACCTCCTTCATGTCAGCATCCTGCATGCCTAGCCCAGTGCCCACCACGGAGCAGGCATTCAAGAAACTGTGTGGGACTCCAATGAGCTGCAAGAAGGCTCAATATTTCAATAAGGAAATCAGAGTTCTGAAAAAAAAATCAAGGTTTCAAGAGCCAATGCAGAATCTGGAACCATCGAGCACTGCATCAGATTCTCTTTCTCTGCATCCAATTCCTCTGGGGCTTTTAAAAAATACTGATGCCCAGGCGCACCTGGGTGGCTCAGTCCGTTAAGTGTCTGACTCTTGATTTCGGCTCAGGTCATAATCTCAGGGTCCTGGGACAGAGACTTGCGTGGGGCTCTGCGAGGAGTCTGCTTGAGGATTCTCCCTCCCCTCTTCCTCTGCCCCTTCTCCCACTTGTGCACATGCTCTCTCTCTCTCAGTAAATATATAAATCTTTTTTAAAAAACTGATTAAAGGGGCGCCTGGGTGGCTCAGTTGGTTAAGCGACTGCCTTCGGCTCAGGTCATGATCCTGGACTCCCGGGATCGAGTCCCGCGTCGGGCTCCCTGCTC